TATATATATATATATACGTATATACATACAAATAGATTTTTGCGGTCTAAATTGCATATATCTTCTTTCCACCTATATCAATTTCCACTATTTTAGAACAGCAATAATGTGTGTGTGTGTGTGTGTGTGTGTGATGTGACGGCTCAAAAGGAACTTAAGTCAGGACATCAAGATTTATTTTTGAAGTGATTCCATTATGTTTCCTCCCTACACCTATTCCTATACAGGGAAAAGTAAAAATAAAATAGGATTTGTCGCTCTAATGATTTGTAGATTATAACATTTTTTTAAAATCTAAGATGCAAAGTGTATAAATGTGCGTTGGAAAATGATAAAATTTGCTATAAAGTAGATAGACATATACAGTATTAAAGTGTAGAATGTGCCAATAAAATACACGAAGTATGTCTAAGAGAATGCACATGTAAATTAGGCATTTAGCGCACTTTAACCATCACACCATTACAATACAGGATACTTACATATGAACAAACATTAACTTACCAAGTAAGGAAAGAAGTTAAAAGGCTCAGTAATGCCACATGAATTTGTGGTAACAAATGTGCCCGCAGTATGCGCTGCAAAATATTTTCCGGGTTTTCCAGCTTTTCAGCGATTAACAGAATTTCGTGGGTTAGGACTGCCAACAGTTTAGCCCAATTCTGTGCCGTTGGCCATTTTTTCTGCCTGTAACACACAAATTATTCTGGTAAAATTCAGTATCTAAATCAAACAGATCATTAAAGATCTTTAATGATCTATTTGGTCAGTTGTGTTGCAGACTTAACGAGTTGTAAAATGGATGCCTGAACCAGAGCATCAATATAAGTATTGTATTAATATAATTCTGGACTCAACGAAACCACTTCAGTTGGCTATTGTGGCGTCTTTGCCGGGGCAATAAATCACAGATGTGAACGGCTTGTAATTTATTGAGTATTTATTTGAAAAAATGCTCCAACATCTGAATACTGTGTACAATAATTACAATAAAGAATATTGACCCGTTACTAGAAGGAATGTTCCTGGTTACCACCACCGCTGGCCTGATAGATATCTTATTCGGTGTGATGCAGCAGTAGCCTACGTGAGCATTCAAGCTAGTATGCCGCACCTGCCGTCTCGACGCGGCACGCCGGCTTCAGTTCCCTGCCTCAGTAGCCTATGCATGGAAATGCAGCGCCGCGCACATCCCACACGACTTCCTACCGACGCGCCAAAGTATCAGAAGAAGGAGTTTAGGTCCGGGGTCCGTTTATATTACCTTCTGGGTCGGCTGGCGGAACTACGTCATCTAGCTGTTTCCGCCGACGCGTTTCCGCAGATAGCAGACGGTCTACGGGGTTACCAAGTTTGCCGCAAGTGGTCTACGGGGTTCACAAGTGGCCACCCACGACACGGCACCCCTTCCCTTCCGCTCCCTAGGTTTGCCTGTCCAGCCCGGTGTCTCTTCCGCCAGCGCTGCCATGAGCATGAAACGCACGTGGCTTATATTTGGTACGTTTGTACAAGGCGACGGATATGACGCTACACTATCTGGATTACGCGGTCACCTCCATAACCCCCAGTCTATTGTGGAAATGACAATTTTTTACTTAAGTCACGTGAAACAAATTGAATCAACCAAGCGGCAAAGAGCGGAGAAGATACCTATATTGAAAATAATAGCGCGTTTCATACGCTAAACCCACTCTGCGTGAAACCAATGTGTAAGCGGCATTGAACAGTCTCGCTTGGGCTCCGAAGGGAGAAAACGCCCTTGATTGATGAATCGATTGATTCATTGATATTTACGGGCGCGGGAACTGCTATGGTCGTTAGTCTCGTACGTGTTGTGCATTTATCTACGAAGTCAGGTTGAAAGTTTCAAAAGACACTAGGAAGTCCGTATGACTCAACGAGTAAGATTTTTTTCTCACTAAAACCAAACCTCCCTTCTCCTCCATCCTCCTCTGGAACCCCCTATAGGGAATACATCACGGAGAGTGGAAGAGTGACCCAGTCACATGACGTTAGTCGAGTGAAGGTTCATGAGATATCCCTCCTTTCATTCTCCAGGCGCCTCAATTCCAGCAAAACGCCTTGAGCAAAATTACATACCGACCTCAAATTGCTTTCAGAAGTAAGCATACATGCAACTAAGTTGCCTGGAGTCATCTGGCCTATACCAAGTAAGACTCGCTCCACAGGCTCGGGATGTATAAAGCGGCCGGCCCGTGAGGCCGGAAGACAGTCACTCCCGTGCTAGTGCAGTGTGCGAACAAGTCCGTGTTCAGTGTTGTTAAGCGGTTAATGGGTAGTAAGGTTATTCTTCTGGTGGTTGTGACTTGCGCTTGGTAACGGGACATCTTCGGGCAAACGGTGACCTGGCTTGGAATATTTGTTTATGTTATGGAATGTGGAATAAAGTGACTTGGTATTACGAACCGTTGTTTCCTTTGGCCTGAATATACAACACTATCCAGTCCTGGAGGCTTGGAATTACCGATTCCACTGATTTCGTGCAGTTGTTCATCCTCAGTGACTGGTGATATAATTTCCGTATCAAGTGGCATGATATTCGACATTCGCCGAGGTGTATGGGAATAAAATTGTTACAATTCTACGAAGAAAGTTAAAGCAGGTTGGAAACAGGCAGGTTGGAAGGTCATGTCCAATTTTTGAAAAATGAGTAGTTTTTGCATAATTTGCGTTCGGTGTTTACGAAAAACAATGTTCTCAAACCGCTCCAATTTTTTTCTGTAAAATTTCTCGACATATATAATAAGGGACGGTAAGAAATATAGTGCTAGTCTCATTTTCGGGTATTGCTCGTTTTTTTCGAAAATTGAAAAATAATTTGAAAGCTACAAAATTGAAGACATTTTTGCCTCAGAAAAAGTTTGGTGTAGTAAATTACATATTTAAATAAATAAGTAAACTAGGGGTGCTACAGAATGGCACAGACTTTCCCGCCTTAGTTTTCTAATATCTCTACTCTTGATTAACTTTTGCGGCAAGACTCATTCTCTTCACGGCTGCTTTCATTTTGTCGCTCGAAAAATATTTTTTCCACATTTTCACAATTACTCGGCTCCATAACGCTGGAACAGAAATCACCGTATACTTGTTACTATTATAGAATGACTCATTTCATGTCCTAACGGTATGGCCGAGGAGCTTTTATAAATAATGCGAGAAAGTGTGTGCTTTGGCAGCACCACTAGTTTATAATAAAGAGCTCTTGCCAATATATTGTGCATTACAATTGCCACATGAAAGGGAGAATACATCACTTGTGAGAGAGTTAGGGAGAGAATCTTCATTGTGGAAAAGTGTGTTTGGAGGGTGTTGGGTGTGTTGAATGTGACATGTAAGCCACATTCACTGAGTTTTTTAGTAATTTTCAACAAATGTGTTCCAAACAAAATGGAATATCTCGTATCTGTATGTCCCTGTGTTTGTGCATGCGCCTGCCTTTGAGCTTGCGAGCGCGGTTTCAATTTTTGTTTGGTATTGTAACATGGAGAATCCTTAATGGCCATAAATAAAGTGTAGAACTTCGGTTAACGAGGCTTGGTCTGTAGGAACAAAAAAAGTTTAAAACATTGTTGTTTGAAAACGTTTCGGAAAATGTATTTCCATCCTCAGCGCTATACAAAATGAGAAAGAAGCAAGCAAGAATACATAAAGCCACCAAAAAGTATCAGATACAATTACCTATCTTGATAGAGTTGAACACATTTTTTAAAAAAAAATATATATATGTGTTACCTTGTAACCACCAACAGAATACAGGGAAAATTACATGAACTGCTACATATTCTTTACTATAAGGCACCTCACGGGATGTGAGAAACATACATACACCTTCTTCACACTGAAATTGTGTATTACCACACTGATGCTTGATATCGTCAAGCTACACTACCCCGATACTCGATATGCTGTGTTATAGTATGTGAATTCGTCAGAATTGGGACTAAATCTTGTTTTCCACCGTCCGGGCTTCTCTTTTCCTTCCCTCAAATAGACATTTTTTAAGAAATCCCCTTTCCTTCTGCCCTCACTATTGTCAGCTTGATTTTAAGTAACAGGACAATGTTCTTTGCCCACGCTGGTTTGCCTTTACTGGCGCTTGCAACCACCATATAATCGAAATGTCTGTTTGTTCATCTGCAATAACCTATTGTTTCTTCTATTCTATTCGTTCTATTTTATTTCATTTTAATTTAATAACTTCTGTTAGTTTAAAAATTATTTCATGCCAACTTTTTCTGTCACCAAGTATCTCATTTATCAGTTATTTTACTTTGTAACTTTGTAATTTCAAGTATCATTCCTCCGTAATTCTGTAATTTGTTTGCATAATTTTTTCACAAGTTCAACTTCTTCACAAAAAATACACAAATTTATAGTTTTCTGTAATATAAATTAATCTTAGATATAACTCACAATTTTATCGCACTAAGTAAGGCCACAATGAGGCAGAAGAAGCTTTAAGTGAATGAAACATATATAACACTTCTATACCTTGTTAGGGCTTTTTTAATAACACAAATGTCACAAATCTCATGCAATTTCTTGCTATTTGCTACACAAGTTGTATTTTCTGAAGTTTAAGGTAATTAAAAGGATTTAAAAGAAACCCATTTTATTTCATAGTAATCAACACAATTAGATCTAATTCTGCTTCCTACATCCTTATTACCTTCATTAAATGATCATAGCTATTTGAGACCCAATTGTCGCTGGAGCCATTAATGACTACTTAAACAGATTTTGTTGTATGTGACAAATTTTAATATACAAAATCAGTATGATTAGGCATTTTGACAATGGTAACAATGATTTGGCATTTCAATTCCTTGCACAGTGTTCAGTCTCTTTCAGAAACAGAGCTGACAACCGCATACAAAAAGCAATATTGCTAGGCATCTCGGGTGAAAGTGAAAACTTTGCACACTGATTAAAAACTACCATACTATTGGAAATAATAAAACCTGAAAAGGTTTTGTTTCTATGTTAAATAAAAAATGTATGCAGATACAAGACCAAAAATTTTGTGCCCATAAGTCAGCTCTAGTTTAAAGTCAGCATTATTAGCCCAAAGATTTTTTGCAAAACCTAGAGTAATTCAGAGTTAACTTTATTAGCAAATATAAATACTTACCAAAGGCTTTCTTCAATTAACTTAGAAGAATCAATGAGAACTGTAGCAACTTCTAGCAAGGACTCAAAAGGTTTGGTCATTACGTCTTCCTCTGTCACCCTGATAGTGAATTTAGGTAATATACTAAGTTGCTCTTCTGCAGGTACCATTCCAATCAGACAGTCCTCGAAGGAAAATGTTTCCCAAAATGTCACTTTTTCTGTAGAAATTTCTTCAAGTTTTGCCAAGTGAGCCAAACACTCATTAACATTCTCCATCAATGCTTCATTTTCATCCAAACAAGCAATTAGAAAATTGAGAATAGTTTCCTGAATTTTAAAAGAAGATATTGTTAATTGTATATCATTGAACATTATTATAATAAACAAACAAAACTATTTAAATATACACAAATACTGAACGTATCCGATTATCCCACAGAAAAGAAGAAAGAAAATATAAATATGTTTTCAGTGCATGAGGTGTGGTGGGATACATGAAAGTCTTCAGTACTGTCCAGCATTAGGATAAAAGTGCAATTGGTGTGGAAGGAGTAATCATTTTGGCAAGATGTACCTTAAGAAATGTCAAAACCCAGAGCACCCATGTCAAGAAATACTTAATACAGTTGAAACAAAGGTTCAATAATCTTTAGATTCTGTTCTTTGAGTTAATAGTGTTAAAACAAAAGCTTGGTTTAAAGTAATTTATGTAGATAACAGAATCATACCTTTCAAACCAGATACTGGTGCTGAAATCAACATTATTCCTTTTTATATTGTAAAGCAAACTGGGATAAGTAACAAAATAAAAAACAGTAATGTTAAGCTCAAAGCTTACAGAGGGTTCAAAATTAAACAAAGAGGAGAATTGTTTGCTTAAGTTACAACCAATGGATGAAATGACATTGTGAAATTTATTATTGTTATAGGAGGCTCTGTTTCCATCTAACGAATAGTTCATATTACTGACATACTTCCTAAAAAAAACAATAATAGTTGTGATAGTAAATAATTGATTTGCAATGAGTATAAAGATGTAATTGAAGCCGGGTAGGTTGTTTTCCAAACCAATGCTCCATACAATTATCAAGAGATGCAATACCACATACAAGTTCAGTAAGACATCAGAGAGTTAAATATAAATTAAAAAATTTAGTGCATAAAAATATAACTGAAGTAGTAAATGATCCAGTAGAATGGGTATCTAAAGTTGTTACAGTTGAAAAACCTGACAAGTCATGAAGAATATGTACTGATCCACAGCATTTAAAAACATTTAGTATTAGAGAAAGGCACACAATACCTACTCTTGATGAAATATCCCCTCATTTGGCAAATAAAACATATTTTACAATTATTGATATAAACGATGGCTTTTATCATATCAAGTTAGATTTTGGATCATCTAAAGTTTGCAATTTTTCTACTAGTTTTGGTACGTACAGATCTTTAAGATCCCTGTTTGTCTATGCAAATCTGCTAGAGCTGTTTCATACGTGTGTTAGTAGTTATTTTCAAGATAAACCTAATGATACTGAATATTTTGATGATATACAGATAGATAGCTACATATAGATATCTACAGGTACAAGAAAAGAAAGTGGACAAATTTTGAGACAAGTATTAGAGTGTGCTAGAAAGTTAAATATAAAATTTAATTTGAATAAATTTCAATATTGACCTCATGAAATCAAATATTTAGGTATAGTGTTTTCTCCAGCAGCATATTACTTATTATTGACTTAAAGAATTCAACAAATAAAATAGAATTACAAAGATTATTATGTATGGTAAATTTTCTTTGAGTCTTTATTCCTAATCTTTCTCAAATCATATCTCCTTTTAGAGAAGTACTTAAAATAGATATTCAGTGGTGTTGGACTGAAACACATTCCACGATTGTCTTTCATATCAAGAAAATTATATCCAGCAAAGAAGTAATAACTTCTTTTAACACAATTATTCCTGTATTAATTCAGTGTGACACTTCACAAGACCCGTTGGGATGCTGTTCATTACCGAACAAAAGACCTGTATATTTTGATTCAAGATTATTAAATTCTGCTGAAGTCCATTACAATCAAGTTGAAAAGGAATTATTAGCCTTATATTTTGCGTGTTCTAAATTACATATGTATATATATGAGCACAATAATGTAAAAATACAAAATGATCAGATATCATATTTCCATAATTAATAAATCTATTAATAAAATTCAAAAGAATAGACTGAGACATTTAATATTAAAGTTGTTGCCTTATAGTTTTAAACTACAATATCTACCAGGAAAGATTTTGTCTAAGAGTGAAATTCAAACATTTGAGAAATTCAATGAATCTATGCTTGGTATGTTTCATTGTGTAAATGATGGATTGTGTGTGTAAATGTGTGAGATGGATTATATGCAATTATCAGATGAAAAACTAACTGAAATTAAAAATGAGATTTTACAAGATCACCAGTTAAGTAAAGTAGGTGCGCTGATGGCCTTCTTCTATAATGGCTAGAGGAGAATTATCTCATTATTTCAAGTTAAGAAATGATATATAATTAAGCTATGGCTTATTATATTGTCAAAATTGTATTATTGTTCAGAAAAAACAAGATGCTCCATCATCAAAAAGCTTCATGAAACATATTTAGGCAAAACAAATATGCATTCTATCATTGGAAATTACTACTACTGGCCAGGAATATGTGCCGATATAAAAAATATAGAATAATGTAGTGTATGTCAGAAGAACTGAAGATCCAATGTAAATCAGCCTTTAATGTATCATGAAATACACAATATTCTTTTCATCAAAATATGGGCTGATATTGCTCAAGTTCCTGGAAAAAGTTATTTAATAATTGTTGGCTATTATGTGCATTGATTAGAAATAATCCAAATGTGTAATAAAACTAGTGGATGTATTAAAAATGCACGAATTCAAATTTTTAGTAGATTAGGAATATCAGATATTTTAAAAGCTGATAATGTGCCTTTTCATTCTTAATAAATGCATGAATATGCAAAAGAGTGAAATTTTCGAATTTGAACACGAAGTCCCAATTATCCCATATCCAATGATATGGCAGAAAAAACAGTAGGAATAACTAAAAGGATAATTAAAATTTCTTTAGAATGAAATCGAGATTTAAATTTAAATTTATTGAATTATCGTAATACTGCAGAGGCTGGATTAAATTAATCTTCAGCAATATTAATAGGGAGGGTATTAAGATCTAAAACTCCTATCCCTTCTAACAAATTATTACGAAGAGTAATTGAACCACTTCATGTTAAGCAAGTTAATGACAAAAGGGCATATCAAAAAGAATGGCATTATAAAAAGTGTTCTAAAACTGAAAATAAATTTAAATGAAAAAAAATATATTAATACAAAATTATAAAACAAAATATTGGGCTAAATTCTAATTTTTTAAGAGGAAACAAATGACTTAGAAGGAGAAGATGTTTAGTAATGTATGTATTTACGTTGATTGTAACCAGGTTGATGTGAGCAACATAATGTTGCTTAAACAAGAATAATGGGAGACAAAGTTTGAAATACAACACACCATTAAGTGAGAGTGATTTCCTTTAATATAATGGAATAAGCACAGACAGGGAGAAAGAGGGAGAGAGAAGGGAGAGGGAGAGATAGGGAAAGAGAGGGGAGAGACAGAGACACGGAAAAACAGAAAGAAAGAGCGGGAGAGAGAGAGAAAGAGAGAGTGGGAAAGAGAAAAAGAAAGATGGAGAGCAAAAAGAAGGAGTGGGAAAGAGGGAGAGAGAGGGGAAAGAAAAAGGGAGAGAGACAGGAAGAGATAGAGGAAGACAGAGGGAAGGAGTTCGGGAGAGCTAGTGTGAGAGTGGGAGAGGGGTAGAGAGAAGGAAAGAGAATGAGTGAGAACAGGAAAGAGAGAGGAAGTGGGAGAGAGAGAGAGAGGGAGAGGGAGAAAGTTATAGAAAGGGAGGGAGGGAGAGAGGAAGAAAGAGATTTATTATTGTTATTATTAATTATCTTACCAACTCGAGATCTCTGTGAAGAACACTTGGATATAGTGGATAGCTCCTGAGTAAACTCTCCACACAGCCCACAGTAATTGCAGAGGCCTGTAAAATGTATTCCATATTGTACTATGCAAAGAATTAAAGTAAATTAAAGAAGTATCACATATATATATTGCATGACAACTTAAACAATAATTCAAACATGAATGTGTGCTAGAAAGTGACATTCTGAAACATATTTTTTTCAGACAGTTTAATTCTATCACATTTTAAAGTTTGAATGCTCCATGTTTGAATGTCTTAATTTCAGTGTGAAATAGTTGAAAGGTTAGAAATAAATTACTTTTATAAGCCAATTAAGCTTACAGCAAATCAATGTGTATGTTTCATAAAAAAAATTATAATAAAAAAAATCTACGTTTATGTAAAGCATACAGTGCAATAATGTTCAATTTTCTTCAAGAAACATTAAACGGTGTCCATTGTCTGTACCATTCTGAGGCAAGCATGACATTATATACTTGTTAACATGTGAAAATAGAGTTGAAAAAATGTTATGTAATGGTGTGTTAATTTATTAGTATACACTCAACACATATTATCAAGAAATGTGTTGTCATTTTTATATTTTTTACTTATTGTTAAAACGACATAATTAATTTTTAATCTAATGACTTAATACTCGCAATTTTTCGATGATATTCTATTAAAAAGCAAAAAGTTTTAACCAAGTCTTTTTTCCATCTTGGACCTAAAATACAATTTGTGAAAAAGAGACTAATAATGGTCAAACTGTTACACAAAATAAATTGTTGAAAAATAGATGAACATATTTTTTTGTACATAAAGACCAAAAATGTTTCTAACATTCAGTATACATTACAAGCAAATCATTTCAAATAAATAAATGTGATTGTTCTAAGAGTGGCTGCATGCGCAGAAAGAATACTGAGGGCAGACAGCGCAGGCATTGTCAGTATGTGCTTGCTTGACATATTATGAACAGTCTTTTCTTATTCCTGGTCCCAATCTTCACAACTGTGATCCTCTCAAATGTCTAATAAATGGCAAAAATATACAAAATGTTTGCAAAAAATTGAAAGGTACCTTCAAGAAGGCAAGTGTATGTGAAGCACTATTTCAGCATGAAGAGAATTTAACATTTTACTAAGGTCTTATTTTTGAAACATTTTCTGAAAATTTATGAAGGGGATCAATAAAAGACTTTGAATACATAATGTGCTAAGCAACAAAATTTTCAAGTTTAATATTTCATTCATTAACTTTGTACTGTGAAACAACCATCATTAAAATAGTCAAGTCAACTTAAAACTGTAAGTGATTCAAACAGGTATATTTCTGTTTGAAGGTACATAATATTATCTAATGGGTTTTGTGCCACCATAAGTAAACACACAAAAGCCTATTAGTAGCCTAATAAATGCCCTTTTATTGATGCCTTACACATGTTATCACTTCCTGCACCTACTCATGGAAAAATACATAACACCCCATTTTTTAATTCATTTTTTTTACTTGTTTCAGATAATAACAGTGTTTTTAAAATAGGCCTATGTCAAAAAGGAATACCTGGAAGAGGTTTTACTGAAATCACATCAGTTTTATTCAAGGCAACAATGTGCAAAATTACACTATAACTGAAAATAATTGTTTGGATTGATAATGTTGTGCTACCTAAAATAAAAATTAGACATTATTGTTTGTAGTCTTACATGATTGCTAAGGGTTTATGGATAAAGTTCAACAAAACAAACCTTGTTTCAGTATACTCTTTTGTAATTAAAATGTTGCTGAAATTGAAAATTTTACATGTAAATGTAGCTGCCAGATATCATTAGATGTGCCGTAGTGAAAATTATTGGTTCCTCAATAATTTCTCACTCGTATGCTGCAAGAATAATGGATCTATCTGCTTTCAAAGACTACCACTGAGCAAATGATGATTCAATGTGGAGTTAAAAGAATTTAGGCTAATGCATAGAATATGATTGTGAAAATAGGAAAGGTAAACTAGAAATTAAGTCTTTATTGATGGGAGAATGGCAGGGTTATAAAAGGGGAAGAGGAGGAGAAAGTGATGGATGGGAAAGAATGCAGAGTTCAAATGGAAACAAAAGTAGGAGAGGGAAAAGACTTAAATTCAAGACAGGTACACAACCGTTGTTCACATTAGTTCTTTTTTTAGGTTTAATATATGAGGACATTGAAAGGAGATGATTTTGGATTTGGGAAGAGAATGAACTGTGGTGGGTAGTTTTAATTAAGCTGCCAGATCTCAGCCAGATCTCTCTTTTTAAAAAAAAGAGGACAAATAATCATTGCACAAAAGGAACTTTGACAAAAAATATGGTAATAAATAATATTCTAATTCATGTAAGCAAAGAATTTAAACATATTTCTTCATGTCCACTCTAATGGTGTCAATACTCACATATGATTTTCATTTGAACTTATTTTCCTGAGGAAATCTAGTTTTCAAATAAAGAAGAAATTATGGAAAATCAACATAAATAATGAGAATAAGATTATATTTCACAGTCCAAATTGCTTTCACTAGCTCTACAGACAAACTTTTCCTTATGTTAGTCCATTGCGATTACATTAGAGAAAAAATTATTTCCACATTACCATTATAATGACTGACGTATTAATAAAAAATACTGAGGTACAAATTATTCTCTGATTAAAACAAATGGTCAGGTGGGGTGTAGTTAGTTAATTGGGAGCTTCAATATCAAAAATATGTTGTAACAAAGCTCCTGATTGGTTAATTGCATCTCAGGTCATTGAAGTCAACTTGCACAGTTTAAATCAGAGTATACACATTGGCATGACATAAAAGATAGCTCGTTGCATGATTGCTTTTCCACCTACTTTTTTTTAACATTTTGGAGTTTATCATTCAGTCAAATCGTACACTATCAATTTCGTGAATGAAATGAAAATATGATGTTAGACGTTATTTTTCGACAAAAGAGGATAATAGAGGACTCAGTCTAAAAAAGAATCTGGATAAAAGATATAGGCCTGAAGAGAGGACATGTCTGGGAAAAAGAGGACAGCTGGCAACCCTAGTTGTTTTTGTATGTTATGTTACTGAGAATGTATTGAAATGGGTAGTTGTAAAATCAATATATAATGTATCTATTGGAGTTTTGTAACTTGAAAACCTACTTGAGAAGAAAATTTTCAAACAGCTTAACTAGCAATGTCTTGCACAACTTCCAGACTTTGAACAGTGAATTTTGTAAGTACACAATAATTTTTATTGAAGATTACTTCTGTTTACATCTCCAATATAGATTTTCACAAGATTTCAATGGTGCCTCCAATAATAAATACAATACTACAATTATTGTATTTATTTTGGTATTGAGAAGATAATTAAGCTTTTCTTGTACATAGCAGAAAATAATATTTCTATTATAAAATTCCTCTCATTATGCATCACTAAATTTATTTTTTACAATTCAGAGCACATAGCATCCTAAACAAAAGCTAACATGTTAAATACGAGAAATTGATTTTAACTTTTCTAAGAATTTTTTTAATAACTTTTTTTTGTTGCTTGACCAATTATATATTTAGTCTTCAAATAGTTGAATCACACAGACTTTACAATGAATATTATTTATATGACTACTGTGTTTGTTGTTTACTTACTTTGGCTGTCATAACATGGTGAAATATTTTGAGATACTCCTTTCGAAGAATTGTTATAGTTTCAGGAAATTCAGAGCACCGATTTATTAACATTTCTGCAAAAAGGAAATGTATAATTTCACTTAAATTGTTAAGTTGTTAAATTGTAATGGTCTTTCAGGGATATTTAATTGTTAGCAACTACAATCTACAATATTACATTTCATTACTTATTAATCAAACACTTTTTTAATAAGTGATTTTACCACAAAATTGCAGTACTTAGTAAAAATTTATAACATAAATATTTTTCCATGTTTATATTCATTAAATTGTACTTAAATATATTTATGGTCAAAATTCACATGATTTTTTTTGGGCTTTATGAACCCCAATCTAGTGTGCTAGCTGACCTATGCTCTTCTTAGGAAACTTTGATATCTATTAGATTAGATTATTTATTGTATCCATTCAGTCAAAACATGTGGCATGGGGGAAGTCATTTTAGTAAAATGATACATCACTTACTACAATATGTAAATTTTACAAATACAATAATTATCCAGCATGTGCACACATGCTCATGCAGATTTGTAAATATTGAAAATACGAAAATGTAGATACAATTGTACATTGTATGATATACAAATATTCCTACTTTTTAATACAATAAAATAAAAGAACAGAATCTTATATATATGAAAAAAGCATACATAACAAAATAGTATGGAAGTGTACACACAGAGGAATATCTAAGTGTTGAAGCATCCAAGACAAGCATAGAATTTGCGCTCTTGTCAGAATACTTCAAATTTAGGGTGGTTGCAATTTGTTTTAGTGGGTTTACTCTGAGTAGCCTCTATAAGTGATACCCAAGGCATGTACCATAGCATAGATACACCTCTGTATGCATGATAATGCAAGCAATTTTCAATTTACTATATCTGAGGAATCCTACACTATGAAACATTACAGAAACAACCAACACTTAAGTATACAATAATTACCAAAATCCAATGCATACAGAAACTGAAAGAACACTAACTGACCGGCAGTAATGTGAGGGATAGATATAATTTCATTAGATACCCAGGAAGTTAGAAAAAATAAAGCAAACAAGGAAACAGCTTTGATTTTGACCATACAATGTAAACATTTGATTGTATTATTCTACCTATTATCGCACTGTGTCTACTGACTGAATTCTCATATTCAGTGCGTCACTGCTTATGACAGCTGATGTCATGCGTTGTGTATATTTCACAAATGTTCATTCCCGCCTGAGATATGGCATAATATTCTGGGGAAATACATCTTATAGCTCCCAGACTTTTAGATTACAAAAATGAATTGTACGAATAATAAGCAAATCCCATCCACATGATTCTTGTAATCCTCTCTTTATTAATCTAGGTATTTTACCATCACCTTGTCTCTTAATATATGAATCAGTGTTTTTTGTTAAAAATGACTTACTTAAGGGCAGGAATATACCTTCAGCAAACGCCGTTGTCTATAACTACAACACTCGACGTAGTAATCAAATTCATCAGGTGACAGTATCAACAGTTCACTACAATAAAATTACATATAATACATGTACATTATTTTACACCTTGCCATATGACATTAAATGATTAAATTTGATACAAATATTTAAGTCCCAAGTAAAATCTTTACTGCTGCACAACTGTTTCTATACAATTAGAGACTATACTGAGCATCCAAAAGGAAAGTAATATTTATTTTTAAAATGACATTTAATGTATTATATATCATTTGGATTGTATAATTGTAAAGAACCTGTAACAAGTATTGTACTTCAGCTTCTGGGTCAATGACCCCATCTCTATCAGGTTTTCACACAGTATTCCTGATCCTCAAGCAAATGCTGAGATGGCCCCTTGTTTTGCTTCTGGACATAAATGTAACTTCAAATTAACTTCTTCCCATAGCATGTCATACACAGTTTTTAACTGTTTTTGACGTAAATAAATAAATGCAACAAGCCTCAACGTGCCTCAAGAGAACGACCACATGCCAAAGAATATTTGTTATTCACAAATTATGAAACAGCAACATTTTTAATTTTCTATGTTAAAAAATGTTATCCTGTTTATCTCTATACCATACAATATTATTGACCTATTTGTAAAGACTGTTTTTTAAAATATTTAAGTCATTGCAGTGTTATATGAGAATACAGAATTTTTTGTTCTTGAGATATGTGGGTGCTACTTTTTGGAAAACCAATTTGTGTAATTATTTCAGCAAACTCAATCCAAAACAGCAGAGAATAAATACCAATTAGTATTGAAGAAAATAGCTTTTATTTCTGTTATTCCAACAACTGAATATCCATCTCAAATAATAACAAAAATTTTCCCAAATTATAAATATATTTTTGTAAAACATTATATAATTATATTCTAACGAGAGGCAAGTTTCAATCCCAACAATTTCCACTATCTTCTGGAAGTCAGTTATCAGTGTTAGGTAAATCTTTGCATTGGAATCTATGATTACAATATCTCGTGTTCCTTAGAATTTACCGAAAAACATCAGCACCTCCTTTTCGAAGCAAAGGGGGGGGGGATGAAACATTGAAGTCAAGAAGTCAACATCATAGCCAGCAATCTTCAACAATTGTTTGGATTAAAGTTGATAATTTTTTAAAATACTAATTATTGGCAACCTCTCTTATTCCAATGACCTTCATTATATCAAATAAAATACCATGATAATGGAAATTAAATACATTGGAAAAATTGAAGAACATTACTGATATCTTTCTTATTGACCATTTTTCTCAAAATTAAACAAGCTTGTTATAACTTAAGGTTTGTATAATGTACAATTTTTACAAAATTTATGTAAGTTAATATTTATGTTTAATGGAGCTGTGGGTGCAGGTAAGGGAACAAATGAAACAAGTTCAACCTCATTGAGTTGTAGTCGATGATTACACACATTTATGAAAATATTGGTATTTTTACTAATTATTTAATTTTTAATTTTATGTATTACACATCCTAGTTTAGTTTTTCCAATACCCCAATTTCAATGAGTTGCAATAAGTGAGGTCTTCACTTTAGTACATTTGTACTACAATTAAGTTTCTTGTTGTGTTGAAATGTGTTTAAATTAGTGGAATATTCAAATTTGAATGTTTAATTTCGTATACTCACTGAGGACACTGTATACTTCATCAGGGCTGGAAGAGATTGGTCCTATCTGCTGGCACAAGTTCATCCACTTCAAGCAATGATCAACGAACAGTCTGTAGGGGCATATGTTGAGCACTTTTTCCAGCAAATGAGCTCCATAGCTGAGAAATAAAAAATATTATTTTAGATCAATATGCATTAGCACACCAAATTTTCTTTAGAAGGCCAGATTCAAGCAGAACAGAGTAAATTGCCCCTTAAAAAAATATTTTATAATCTTTACCGGCAATTTACATTGATCTGATATTTGGGGAGGAGTGAACTAGTTTCCAGAAGATGAAACAATTTTTAAAGAATTGGGAAATTTCCTACAAAAACATTGTTTGTTTTTTTAAAACCAGTCTGTTATGTGTGATATATGATAGCAATAATAAAATATTGTAAAAAGTAATATTAAAAACTGAGTGGAAACTGATTTGACACTATCAATAGAATGTGTATTAAATATCAGAATTTATTTATCACACAAGTTTCACTCCATTTGCAGATACTTCTCTAAGTCATTCTATATTTTGATGATGAGATACCCGCTTCCAACACAGTAAATGCCAGTGCTGATTGCATGATTCATAGGTGCAATTCTGTAACCAACCTGAAACAAATGAGTAAGTAAATCAGGACTACTTCTGGTCTGTAACAATGAGATAACCAACAAACTTTTGTTTGAATCATTTACTTTCTGTTCAAATATACATCTCTTATGAGAAAGAAAACGTTATATTTTTCATTACAAATAGAAAGAAAACCCTGAATTTTAAGGTATCCAAATAAATTTTTATAAATAAAAGTAATTTTTTTCTCTTCCTCATTTACTTTGCCAAAAGGAAACTACAACTTCTTTTCAAATATACAAATAGAGACTGGTAGTAATTATTTTCCAATACAACTTGAACAAACATTAAGAGATGCATTATTTTGTTTTTTCTAGATTGAATACCGAAACTTAATAAATTAGTTCATGTCATGTACACATATTGTTAAGTACTTATTAATTTTCTTTTAAAAAGCTAAATGAAAGAATGTTTAAGACAAGTTAACAAACCTAAATTTAAAACTAGTGGTTCTAAAACTGCACATACTTTGTCACCCTTATAGATAGTATTATGTAACTATTATTATCCCAATTTCTCTCCAAATTAACAGATCTCAATCATAATTTATCTGATTAAGACTGAATACTTCTTTATACTTTTTGCTAATACCCTGTATGTTCCATGTGGCCATTTGTATTGTCTGGTTTCATTGCTTAAGTGATCTTCGATTGGGTCTGTTTAAAGGCTGCTTAGAGTTTGTAACATGTTTAGTTTTTTACAGGAATGAAGTGTTGGTCCATAGCCCAACCTCCAACCTGGCAGGCCAGGATTTGTTTGAGTTTTCTTCCCCTAGAGAGGTTGGCCCCACGCCTTTCTGAGTTCTCTCTACCCATGGTTTTGTTTCAGGGTTTTCCTTCCCTTAGCCTTTGGGGGATTCACCCCCTCCTGCAAGGCAACAAGTTGAAGTCAGAAAAGAAGAAGAAGATACAGAAATAGATAGAAAGGGAGGAGGGAGAAAAATAGAATAGAATAAGGAAAGAAGAGAGGAGGAAATAATGACTCCCTAACCCTCGCAACCTAATAGCATCGGGGTCAAAAAACACAAGAGACCAAGAGTGGTCAAATAGGAAAGAATGAAGTAGTATGGCACAAAAGGAAGAATAGCCATGCCATACTAGTAAACGGACCACATTTATGGCTAGTTGCCGTTTGTGGGGGAGAGGGAGGGACTTGGGAACCAGGCCCGACACACTTTGAATAGAGTTGATGAAGATGTACTGCTGGGTCATTGTGAGACAACCCTTTGTCTGGCTCCTCAGCTGAGACCTGTACAGCATGGGTGCCCCTACCGGTAGCATCAGCCCTGTATGCCCATAGCTTCATAAGAACACACAAACCTTCTCGCTCTTACTGTCAGTGCTATTTTAAGGCAGTGTCTCCTGTGTGCATTCAGGAGGTCTTAGTGAAATCTGTTCCTTAAAGATATATTTTAAAATAAGGTAATAATGATTGATAAATGATGATTGAAATCTCTTAATTTATCATTCATTATTTCCTTATTAATTTATGTAGTTTCCCTATAAATTTATGTAGTCAGATGGATCTAAAAATCATGAATGGGTTCTATAGAACAAAGATATCCATAATTATACATGGACACAACCTACCAGGAATATTAAGTCAATAATTGATATGTGATGGTAAGGCAGAAAACACATCTGAAATGTCAAGATGTAAAAGTATTAAGAGGTGCAGAATGTGGTAGCGACCACTATTTTGTTAGAGCTCTTATTTATTTTTTTCACAAACCTAACTTCCAAAAGATCAAACTACCAGAAACTCATTCTCCATGTAACTCAAAAATATATCTGTTGGATAGCATACAAAATGACTTGATTAGTTTCCTATATAAATTTAGATTGGCAAATAAATTGCAAGTAAATGTAAAACAGCAAGCAAGTGATCTATATAAACAAAAAGAACAGTAATTCATGAAGCAGCATGTGAAGCATTAGGTGAGAATCCCAAACTAAAGGAAAGAAAAACACATTGGTGGAATGAAGATTTTAAGCAAATGATCGAAGAGAAGAAAGTGAAATGTAAAAAATGTCTAAGCTCAGGAGACCCCAAAGACAGAACTGCGTATAGTAATATCAATAGAAGAGTTAAAAGAGCAGTAGCAAAAACTAAGACACAGGCTTGGGAAACAAAATGCTCTGAAGTAAATAGGTTAATGGGAAGCAATGGGTCTAGAGAGGAATGGAAAGCAATAAAAGAATTAAAAACAGATGTGTTATGTCACCAATCACTATTAAAGGACAGCATATTTTCAAGAACTTCTGAAAGAATAGAACAGAATACACGTACATCAGTTATAATGCAGATAATGTACAAATACAGGATGACATCACAAAAATAACTCTAAAAGAACTAAATAATGCTCTGAAGGGGATGAAAAATAATAGATCCCCAGGCCCAGGAGGGATACCAGTTGAACTGTTAAAACATTCTCTGGATGAAATGAAAGAAATTATTGTAAACTTATTTAATAGTCTCACTGATCAAGAAGAAATTAGTGTCACAAGTTCAATTAGTAGACTGTACGGGCGAATAATTAAAGGAAAAATAGAGTCAGGGATAGAATCTTATATTTTTGAATCTTATATTTTATATATAATCTTATATGAATTGGAATCTTATATTTTTTTGACTTTTTAAAATTTTAGAACAAAAATGTAATTTTAAATTAGTTAACACCATTAGGAAAATGTATAAAGACAGTAAAGGTGTTGTGAAAGTCAACATACAAGTATCAGATGATAAAATAATTTCTAAAGGATTGAGACAGGGGTGCTGTATGCCCCCAACTTTTTTAAACATGTTCATTGCCAAAGCTGTGAAAGAATAGAGAAGGAAATGCAGTGTGATGGGAATGCAAATTGGAGAATCAACACAGGATGTTCTACTTTTCACTGATGTTCTAGTCATCATGGCTGAGAATGAGCAAGATATTAACCATTGTTTAGAAAAGCTAAACAGGAATTAGGAATATGGGGATTGCAAATATATGTGTTCACTACATAGTATATGGTAACAGGAGAATATGGAAATGATCTGCACATTGGAAATGATAAAATACAATTATGTGATAATTTTAAATGTTTGGGCTTCACAGTTTCAAAAGAGGGCAAAAGTAACAATGATATAAATAATAAGATTAATCAAGGGATACGAATCATTAATATGCTAAATCCAATTCTATGGTACTCCCAGTTATCAAAGAAAACAAAGAAAAATATGTACAATACCTTAATAGAAAGTATTGACACATCTGGCTCGGAAGTATGGGAACTGACTCAAAAGAACAAAAAGAGATTATTGACGATTCAAATGGACTTTTTGAGACGAAGTTGCAGAATATCTCGTTTACACCACATGAAGAAATAAAAGAGAAAATGGAAATTAAAAAGGATACTGTAGAACGAAAACAGCTTCAGAGGTACGGACATATGCTGAGAATGCCAAAATTGAGGTGGCCCAAACAATGGGTACCTCTGAACAGAAGACGATAGGGCTGACCATAATTTCATTAAGAGAAACAACGTCAAGCATTAATATTCTAGTTGTAGTTGTTGTTGGTAGTAGTAGTAGTAGTAGTAGTAGTAGTAGTAGTAGTCGTAGTAGTCGTAGTAGTCGTAGAAGTCGTAGTAGTCGTAGTAGTCGTAGAAGTCGTAGTAGTCGTAGTAGTCGTAGTAGTCGTAGTAGTCGTAGTAGTCGTAGTAGTCGTAGTCGTAGTAGTAGTAGTAGTAGTAGTAGTAGTAGTAGTAGTAGTAGTAGTAGTAGTAGTAGTAGTAGTTTTAGACAGACTATAATTTCTTTAAGAGAAACAGTGTCAATCATTAATATTTTAGTTGTAGTTTTGATCTTTTGCAATTTTCGAAAAATCAGGATTTTCAACATTCATGCACAATTCTCCTAAACGCCATGTACACTATCTAACAATAAAATTTAATCAAGAACGATGGAGCCAGGTTTTTGAAAAAAATAGAAAATCTCCCATGGTTTTCGTATGAGGTACCCCCATTTAAAATATCGGTTTCAAGTTCAAGGGGTCGTGACATCATTCAGGTCCATTGGAGAAGGGTTTAGCTGCTAGTGTTGTTCACAGAAGGACAGGCGTTTAACTGTATCGATTATTCGCTATCAAGGACCCACGAAACATGGATTGAGCAACTGGATTTATCCACCTTTTCGTAACTTGGGCCCGACTATAAGAGATTCTTTGCCCTTCTACTCCGTAGCGAGAAAGTAACATTTGCAGCCATTTTGAAGAAACTGTTTAAAGTGTTGAGGCTTCATGTAAAGTTTCCCCAAAATCAAAATTTCCATTTCAAATTCCTGGGGTTTCAAGTTCGGCAAGATCAATCGGGGAATATCAGTTAAGGAGCAGATTGTCAGAAGTGCTTAGTCACTAGCGTTGACTAAACACAGAAGTACGTTTTCTGATGTCAACCGATTTTTAGGTATCAAGACACAACGTATATTCAGACAACACAAAACGTTTTAGAGGAAGTAATTTTCGAAATATAGGAACAAGATTCATACCTTATTTATTTCAAGGTCCCACAATACGAGTTTTTCTGTCGAAATATCACCCACTGGTGTCTCTGCGTTACAATGCTTTCTCTTTATAAGGTAAATATGTAGTATGCTTCGTTAATGAACATTTTTGAGCAGTTTTTGAGAAAATAATTTATTTTAGAAACTGCATAAATTTCAGCAAATTACACGATATCTACTTTTAAAAAAAAATTTACATGGCCGTTCTTATTGAGTTTTTTAGATTAGACTTTGTGTAAGGCAAAAATAGCTATTTTAAATTTTGTAGTTTTGAAGTGTTTATTTTTTGCAATTTTCGAAATTACGGAGAGTTAGCCGAAAGTATGACTAGAGCCATATATTTTACTGTCTCTTGATATATACAAGGAGAAATTCTAAAGAAAAATATTGAAAGAATTTTTGAGAAAAAAATGTTTAAAATAATAAAAATTGCATTTATTTCGCGCAGAATTTCAAGAATACTACTCATATATTTCAA